CCTCTGCCTCCCAAATGCTGGGACTAAAGGCTTTTGACACCACACCCGGCCCTATTCACTAGATCTTTATTGAATAATAAATGGTTAGACTAAAACCAACCAAAAATGGGGATAGGAAGAAAAAACTTACTAAAAGTTGACCATTGAAAGAATAAAATACCAATATAGAAAAATCATTGTTGGGGGGCTGGAGAGATGGCTCAACACTGGTTGTTCTTGTAGAAGACCTGGGTTTGAATCCCAGCACCCACATGGCAGCTGTCTGTAACTCTAGTCCCGGGGATCCGACAGCCTCTTCTGACTTCTGCGGGCATTGCACGACATGGGTGCACTGACTTACATGCAGACAATACACACAAATATATATATATCATTATGTAGCTCTGGCTGGCTTGGAACTCACTATATAGACCAGGCTGGATTCAAACTCACAGAACTCCGCCTGCGCCTGCCTCCTGAGTGCTGGGGTTAAAAGTGTGCGCCCCTTTACCCGGCTTAATTGATTAATATAGATTTAAATATTTTTTTTTATTTATTTTATTTTTTTATGTGTATGCGTGTATTGCCTGCATGTAGGTAAGTCACCCATGTCGTGTGATTTTTTTATCTTTTAGATTGTTGGTTGGTTGGTTGGTTGATGCAATCCTACTGCTTTAGCTTCTTAAGTTAACCACTGAGCCATCTCTCCAGCCCCTAATTTATTTATTTTTAAAATATTTATATATTTTATTTTATGTGTATGAGTATATTGCTTGCATGTATGTAAGTGGACCTGTGTCATGCATTGCCCTCAGAGGTCAGAAGAGGGTGTCAGATATAGAACTGGAGCCACAGACAGTTACCAGCTGCCATGTGGGAATGCTGGGAATCTGAACCTGGTTCCTCTGCAAGAGCAGCCATTGCTCCTGTTCACTGAGCCATCTCTCCAGCCCGTTTTTTATTTTATGTGTGTATTTTGCCTACATGTATGTAAGTGTACTACGTGCATGCAGTTGCCATGGTGGACAGAAGAGGGCATTGGATCCCTTAAAACTGGAGTTATACACCCTGTTAGCCACCATGTGGGTGCTAGGAACTGAACTTGGGTTCTCTGCAGCAAGTACTCTTAACTACTGAACCATCTCTCTAGTCCCCACAAATAATCATCTTAAGAATATTTATAAAATCAGGCTGGAGAGATGACTCTGGTTAAGAACACTGGCTGTTCTTGCAGAAGACCCGGGTTTGAATCCCAGCACCCACATGGCAGCTAATTGTCCGTAACTCCAGTTCCAGGGGATCTGTCTGCTTCTTCTGTCCTCCTTGGGCATTGCACGACATGGGTGCACTTACCTGCATGCAGGGAATACATGCATACACATAAAATATACAATTTTTTTTTAAATATTTATAAAATCATTATTACTTGAGAAAACTATCACTCGGGCTGGAGAGATGGCTTAGTGGTTAAGAGCACTGACTGCTCTTGCAGAGGACCCAGGTTCGATTCCCAGCACCCACATGGTGGCTGCAAACCATCCTTTTCCGGGGGAATCTGAAGCCCTCTTCTGACCTCCACGGCATTGCAAGACACAGGTGAACTCACATACATGCAAGCAATACACATACACATAAAATAAAAATTATTTATATATATATATATAAACAATTTTTTTGGTCTTTTTGAGACAGGGTCTCCCTGTAGCCTCAGCTGTCCTGGAACTCCCTATGTAGACCAGGCTGGCCTTGAACTCACAGAGATCCTCCTGCCTCTGCCTCCTGAGTGCTGGGATTAAAGGCGTACGCCACCATTAATATATTTTTTTAAAAAAAAAACAAAAACAGTCGGGCGAGGTGGCGCATGCCTTTAATCCCAGCACTCCGGAGGCAGGCATGGGGATCTCTGTGCGTTCAAGGCCAGCCTGGTCTACATAGGGAGTTCCAGGACAGCTGGGGCTACAGGGAGACCCTATTTCAAAAGACCAAAAAAAAAAAAAACCAAAAACTATCACTCTTTTAGCATATAATATCAAAACAAAGTCATAATAAACATCATTTTGGTCTAGCATATGAGTAGAGAAACTAAAGGAAAAAGTCTCAGTCGTCCATAAGTAGGGTTGTTTTTTTTTTTTACTTATGGGAAAGGGCAAGGTATCCCTATGTCTACAGTGTAATACTGGGATAAGAAGCGTACAACTGCTTTTTCTGCAGAGGTATGAGTCAGCTACAAAGATGCCTGGAAGCAGGGCCACTTGGATCCCTTACCATGAACCTGGGTCTGTGAAGACCTTGATGGATTGTTAAGCTTTCTTTTTTATATAGCTTGAATGAGCTAATTTTCCAGGTAAAAGTTATGGTCAGAACAGCTGCCTGAATGAAATCTGAGTCTTGTCCTTGAAGATGTGAGTAACTTGGAGCTGGAGATACAGCTCAGTGGTAAAGTCCTTGGCTAGTAAACATGAGGCCTTAAACTTCAACCACCCTAACCTACATAGTAAGTTTATGGCCAACCTAGGCTATATAACACCCTATCTCAACCTCTTCTGTGCAAGAAGATTTTAAATTTTTTAAAGTTTATTTTAGCCGGGCGTGGTGGTGCACGCCTTTAATCCTAGCACTCGGGAGGCAGAGGCAGGCGGATCTCTGTGAGTTCAAGGCCAGCCTGTTCTACATAGTGAGTTCCAGGACAGCTGGGGCTACAGGGAGACCCTGCTTCAAAAAGACAAAAAAAAAAAAAAAAGTTTATTTTAATGTGTATGAGTGTTTTGCCTGCAAGTGTGTAAGTGTGCCAGGTACATACAATAGCCATGAAGACCAGAAGAGGGCATTAGATCCCTTGGAACTGGAGTTATGAATGGTTGTTAGCTGCAATGGGGCTACTGGGAACTGAAACTAGGTCCTCTGCAAAAGCAGCTGGAGCTCTTAACCACTGACCCACAGGATGGGTGAGATATTTGTAGATTCCATGCTTACTTGAAACAGTGAATTCTTTTGTTGTTGTTTGAAGCAAGGTCTTGTGTAGCCTCAGGCTTTCCTTGAACTCCTAATCCTCTTGCCTTCATATCCCAAATGCTAGAAGGGCAGATATGTACCACCATGCTCAGGTGCATAGTAGGATTTTTTGTATTTAATAAATGTATTTATGTAAGCCAGGTATGGTGGCACGTACCTTTAAACCCAGCACTTGGGAGGCAGAGGCAGGTGGATTTCTGTGAGATGTAGGCCAGCTGCAACTACAGGGGAGATCCTGTTTCAAAAAGACAAAAATAAACAAAAAAGTGTTCATGGTTTGAGGCCTACCTAAGAGTATCTGTTTTCTGCCTGGTCCTGGCTACCAGGGCCTACATTTTTTAGTTAGAAAAGGCATGTCTGTTCAACAGCTCGAGATGACTTTCTCCCATGTGCTGAGATTACAAGTATGTACCACCATGGCCTGAATAATGCACTGTTGGGAACAGAACCCAGGGCTTCATGCATGCTAGGCAAGCACTCTACCAACTGAACTCCAGCTCCACTTTCCTTTTTTAAATTTCTATTCAATTTATTTTGTGGTGCTGAGTATTGAATACAGTTGTCAAACATGCTAGACAAGTAAGTAGTTTACAATTGAAATATATATATACTTTTTTTTTTTTTTTTTTTTTTTTGAGATAGTGTCTCATGTATCACAGGAGATCCTTGAAATCTCTGTAACTGAGGCTGTCTTTGATCCCCTTGACGCCACATCCCAAGTGCTGGGGTACAAATATGCACTACTTCACCTGGTTTGAGCCCAAGCTGTTCTAAAAAAAAAAAAAGGCAAAAAACCAAAAAGATTGTGTGTGTTTGTGTAATAACGGTGTACATGTGGAGGTCACAGGACAGCTTGTGAGAGTCAGTTCTCTCCTTCCACCATGGGGGTTCTAGGCATCAAACTCAGGTTATCAGACTTGGTAACAAATGCCTTTACCCACCGAACCATTTTGCCAGCCTGAGACCAAGCTTTTAAAATGATGCTTTTTCTTCTTTTCAGAAGCAGCTCAACAAAAAAGGAGGGTTATTGACTCCAGTTCCACCAAAAGGAAGAGTCTCTATTCCCTGTACTCCGACCAGCCAGCAGCGCTCACGAGGCCAGTCCTATGGTCCTGAGAGTCAGAGTACTGTGTGTCTGAAGGGGTCGGTCAGGCACTCTGTACTGTCAGCAACTAAAATGAATGTCAGGTAAGAAATACACTCCAAAATGTAATCAGGGGCAAGATTTTGAGTCAAAAATTTTTTTACATGTATGAATGTTTTGCCTGCATGTATGTAAGTACACCACATGCAGTGCCTACAGAGGCCAGAAGATAGCGTCATATCCCCTGGAACTGTATTTTTCAGACAGTTGTTAGCTTCATGTGGGTGCTGGGAACTGGATCCAGGTCCTTTGCAAGAGCAGTCAGTACTCTTTACCATCTCTCCAGCACACCACCCTTTTTTCTCATGGACTTTGGTGAATCAAACTCAGTTTCTCTTGCTTTCAAGGCAAGCACTTTACTAATTGAACCCTAAATACACAAAAATGTTTTTTAAAAGGAGGAGCCTGGGGTCATGGTGGTGCATACTTTTAGTCCCAGCACTCACAAGGCAGGCGGATCTCTGAGTTCAGGCCAGCCTTGTCTAGGGAGTTCCAGGCTAGCTGTTTCAAAAAAAGAACAAAAAGAAAAAAAAAGAAAAGGACCAGGAAGAGGATTGCAGACAGAGAAAAATCAGCAGTTTCACACTTGCTTTGTTCTAAAATTTTTTTTTTGTTTTTTTTTTTTTGGGCTTTTTGAGACCGGACCTCCCTGTAGCCCCAGCTGTCCTGGAACTCACTATGTAGACCGGGTTGGCCTGGAACTCAGAGATCCATCTGCCTCTGCCTCCCAAGTGCTGGGATTAAAAGCATGCGCCACCATGCCCGCCTCTTCTAAAATTTTTAGCTCTGTGTGTGTGTGTGTGTGTGTGTGTGTGTGTGTGTGTGTGTGTGTGTGTGTGTGTGTATGTATGTACATGCATGCGTGTGCATGCTATAGCCTATTGTGTAGAGGTCAGAGGATAAATTTGTAGAGTTGGTCCTTTCCTACTTTTAGAAGGGTTCTGAAGATCAAACTTCCAGCCCTGGTGTTTGTGTATGTGTGTTGAGAAAGAGTGTCACTTTGTATCCCTCGATGGCCTGGAACTCACTAGTAGACCAGGCTGGCCTCCAATTCACAGTACTGGGATTAAAGGCATCTGCTACCACTCTTGACCCTGTTTTATTTATTTATTGTCTTTTTGAGACAGGGTCTTCCTGTAGCCCCAGATGTCCTGGAACTCACTATGTAGACCAGGCTGGCCTGGAACTCAAAAGATCCGCCTGTCGCTGCCTCCCAAGTGCTGGGATTAAAGGCATGCCCCACCCCCCGGCTTATAGCACAGATTTGATTGATATGTATTTGCTCTGCTTGCTCTCATTGGCCACCACAGGCATACCAGATAATACAAACAAACAAATATATATATATATGTATATATATATATATATATATATATATATTTACAAATAATGGAAGCAACAAATGATTTGCTTAAAGAACATTTTAAATTTTAATTTAATAAAGCAAGTATTTATTGAGGCCCTTAGCTGCCTGATGGTGGCCCCATGGTTTCACTTACAAGCTTAACTCTCGTTATTCCTGCCACAAGTAGGACTCATGTCTTTCATTCAACTGTTGCATATAGGTTTTCAGCTGCTACTAAAGATAATGAGCATAAGCGCTCACTGACGAAGACTCCAGCCAGAAAGTCTCCACATGTGAGCATATCTGGGAATGTCTCAAAAGGCCAGGCTGTACTCAGGACACCAAAGTTAAAGACGACTGAGCGGAATTCTGCTGCTGGTAAAAAAAACAAACAAGTAAACAAAAAACTTATGGTAAAAAAAAATTGTAGCTTCCTGAAATTAGGTATACCTCTTTCCATAAAGCCTTTCCATATGCCCGGCGGCGGGGTGGCACACACCTTTAATCCCAGCACCCAAGAGGCAGAGGCAGGCTGATCTCTGTGCATTCAAGGCCAGCCTGGTCTACATAGTGAGTTCCAGGACAGCTGAGGCTACAGGGAGACCCTGTCTCAAAAAGACCAAAAA